TGCTGCTTGGCCTGCTGTGTTCATCCAGCCCTGCACCTTGTTGTCTCGGATTCTCCAGCATCTGCAGTTCCTACTATCTCTGGATTAACAGTTCAGCGATAATACCGCTAGGCCATTGCCTCCCTTCAGCAACAGAGACACTTGTTGACAATCTGGTCAAAATGTCCTGTCCTTGAAAATTGATTTTGATTGTACCAGTTTCTAGTGCAGTAATTACAGCCATTTAGAGATGACTGCTTTCAAGTAAGATATAAAACAGCAGTCAGCAACCAGATTTTTTTAAATTTAATCTAGCAGCATGGTGAGCAGAAGTATTAAAACAGTCTTTCAAACTAAAATATTCCCATTTTGAATTGCATTTTATTTTTAAGCATGTTTCAAGTGCTGTTGAGTTTCAGTACTGTTTTTGACGCGTTAATGAGTTGATATTATCTTTCATAAAATGAACTGAGTTCATTTGCATGTTAGATGCATGTTAGAAGGTGCATTGCTATCCTTATAAATGGAATATTTTAAAGCTCAGCCTGTGTCCACACTCTGGAAATATGCATGAAATGTTCTGGGAATTCAAAAAAAAACTTGTTTTATCAATCATTAGCAAGAATGTGGAACTCTGTACCATAGAGAGTGGCTGAAATTAATAATCCAGAATAATACAGAAACTAGATAAACTGATGAAGGAGAAAGGAATTGAGGAAAGTAGGATCTTAATATTGGCAGATCTGGTGCACAAGGTGTGAACTGCGCAGCACTTCATGAACTGGGAATAAATAGTGATACCATTAGAGTCAGATAACAGTTTGGTTTTGAATTACCAAGCATTTGTTCGTGTGTGAGGTTCAACATTATGTACCAGTGTAATATTTAATTATAGGGGCTTCAGAACCAAGCCTAAATGTCTTCACCTAACATCCATAAATATATATACTAGCTACAGGGATGTAAAATCTTCTTCGTCTGTACAACTTCCAGCCTCGGGCGACTGTCTGTGTGGAGTTTGCACATTCTCCCCGTGTCTGCGTGGGTTTCCTCCGGTTTCCTCCCACAGTCCAAAGATGTGCAGGTTAGGTGGATTAGCCATGCTAAATTGCCCGTAGTGTTAGGGGGATGGGTCTGGGTGGGATGCTCTGAGGTTTGGTGTGGACTTATTGGGCCAAAGGGCCTGTTTCCACACTGTATGGATTCTATGATTCTAACTCAGCTATACACTGGATAACTTTATTGAACCTTTGTAGGAGGCTGGGTTCATATGCTTTAAACAATAGGATTTGAAAAAACCTGTAGAACTGGATCACAGCAGCCATCGGGGATCACTAACTCAATTGGTGTATTTGCAGTTTGTTCACAGAAATTGTGACCGCTATTTTTAATGTTTTATGTTGCTGGATAACTCAATCACATTGAATTACAAGATACATTTTTACCATTGTTGCAAAATGTATTTAATGTCTGTAGAACATCCTGTGAATATATTAAATGGCACTATGTAGCATAGCAACATAGTACAGCATTAGATTTTGTACAATGTCCTTTCTCCCTCAGGGACTGGATTAGGATCTAACTTGGACAACTGATAGTCTCTTTTGTAAAGGCTGCTAATGGTCTTGCTGAAGTGGACTGGACAGGCTTCATTCTGCTTTTAATAGATTCAGTCCCATAATACAATACTGTACTGTTCTTAAGTTTAGAGTGGCAGTGTTCAGTTTCAATCATACCAAAAAAAATTGAATTGGGCAGTCAGATGTCATGCTAGTTTGCTACAAGGAGCTCATTTGAAATTAGCACCACATCTGTACACAACCTGCACTTACCTGGTGCCCAAAACTACGAAATATTTTGTAGAATTTGGGTAGAAGAAAGAAACAATTTGCATTGTACCATTGTCCTCTTCCCCAATTCCAATTTCCCATACATCAGCCTCTATCCTTCTAGACAGTAAAGGTTGGATTCAGAATGTTCTGTAGGAGGAGTTTTGATGAATTATTGCAGTGCATCTTGTACTGCAATAATGGTAAACCCTGTTGCCACTGCATTGGTAAGGAAGGGAGTGAATGTTGAAGGCAGTGGGTGGGTTGTCAATCAAGAATGTCGTTTTGTCCTGAATTCTGACAATCTCATTGAATGTTTTTGGAACTTCACCTGTCCAGGCAGAGGGAGAGTAATTCATCACATTCTTGGCTTGTCATTTAGATACTGGAAAGGGTTTGTGGAGACAGGAGGTGAGATATTCGCTGACCTGAGTTTGTAGCCACAATATTAAGATGGTTAGTCCAGCTCACTTTCTGGTCAATGTTGTTGTTGGTAGGAGATTCAGTGCCATTGAATTTTATGGGGCTTGGTTTGATTCTGTCTTGTTGGAGATGATCATTGCCTGGCAGTTGTGTGACACAATTCCAGTTATAGTTTGACCCATTTTTTCATGCAAGTAGATGAGAATATTCTATGTTTTACATTTCAAAAATATCACAATACTGCAGTATTCACTATTGAACCTTGTAGAATAGCTTTGCCCTTTTTTTAGAGAAACCACCATAAGCAACAAAGTTTGCTAAGCATTTAGGAAACTTGTGCTGTGGCGTAGATACTTCAAATATAGTTGCTTTTTAAATGTTTTTGCTTATAATTGCTGTAATGTTCATTTTATTACTACAGCTGAAAAGCTCATCATCTTTTCCACTTGTGGCTTCCCTCCTTTTGCCTCATTTGCCTTTACGCTTGCTTCATAGCACAGTGAGTATTGGGAGAGAGAGAAGCAGTGAGTGGAGGGTGATGGAAAAAGAAGCAATGACCAGGTGGATCGCAGAGAGGGAAACAGTGAATGGACGCGTATAGGAGAGGATGCTGTGGGTCTAGAGATTTGATTTATCATTGTCGCACGTACCTAGGTACAGTGAAAAGTTTTTTGTTTTGCGTGCAGTACAGGCAGATTATACCATACCGTAGGATAGTAAAACAGAGTGAAGATTACAATGTTACAGCTGCAGAGAAGGCGCACAAAGAGCGAGATCAATATTATATTTAAAATTTGAGAGGTCCATTCAGTAATGTGTCAGGGAGTAAGGGGATCCGGGGAAGCAAAGTTGAATGGAAGGTAAGTCATAAGAGGATTTTTGGGCCAGTTAGGTTCAAGACACCTAGTAAGTTTTTATAATGTAAAATTTGTAGGTGAGGCACATAACCCACCCTAATTACGTATTTTCTTGCGGGAAAAAAGATTTTTGCTGATATTTTTGTTCTGTGCGTTTTTCTTTAAGGAACACAGTAGGTGTATTAAAGAAGGGATAGCTCTATGTAATCCAGGAAGGTCATGTTCTGTTGTTCAAGTAGACTCCATCGTTTATTGCATGCTGAAATGTTGAACTCATTTTTGGTGATTTGATATAAATATGCTGCTCCACAGTTTTGGGGGTAAAAGTAAACAACGAGTAAAGTAATGCTTCTACGTGTTTGAAGTCTGATAATTCCATCCATTTAAAGTGGCCTGGAAGCGTTTGCATTTTGCTAGAGATGATTAAATGCACTTTAATTTTCCTGCCAGTCATGTTACAGTGACTTTGTACAATGATATATACATGATTCCTCTTACAATTTTCAGACCTTTTTGTCTGTACCTACTTTCTATGTTGATGAGCTGGCAGTTAGCCAGATTAGATTTCTGCTGCAGTTTGTTGAATGGATTTACCTGGGTAATTTTCCACACTGTTCAGTAGGTGCTAGTATTGTAACAGTACTGATGCAGTTAGTTCTTATTCACAAGTTTTCAATACTGCAGCCAGAATGTTGTCAAGGCCCATAATCTTTGTTATAATGATATTATTTCAGAAACAGTTTTAGAAAATGTCACAAATAACTAAAAATGATATAATACATTGAACGATGGCATTTTCTTTTCCAATCCCACCACTTTGAAGTTACATGAGTTTGGTGTACTATTATTCATTTGATTGTATCTACTTACACTCTAATTCCAAATTCCTGATAGAATGCAATGCAATGGTTTTGTTGTTAAACAGTGGTGTGCCTGGGAGCTACCATGGAATCAATTTTCACCTCACTGGAGGTTGAAAGGGAGGCGGCGAGAAAGACAAATGATGGAGCAAGTTGGCCATGGAGAGATGTTCATCCCCTTCCTACCACCTCAGCAATTAAGTGCTGACCAAGAAGTTTCATTGGACTTTTTTTTTGACTTGCCAGCAGTTAAGGCCTGTTCAGTTAATGGCCAGTCAAGGGTTTTAACTCACCACTGGCCCAATTACTTGACCTCCCTTGCAGGTGAAGAAAGCGGCTGGCTTCCCAAATGACAAAAAAATGGCATGCTATATTTGATTACAAATGCCTCCAATATAGAGAAGGAAACATCAGGCAGGGTTTTTGCTGCTTGTTCTTAGGAAGAATTTGTGATGCCAATTTCTGTTTTTGAGCAGGATTGTATGTGTGGTAATAATGGGTCAAAATTCTCACACTACTTTCTTGACAGTATTGTGGGTGTACCTCCACCAAATAGATTGCAGTGGTCCAAGAATACAGCCCACCATTACCTTCTCAAGGCGATGCCCACATCCCACAAGCGATTTAAAAACACTCAATCTTGGTTCACATATGAAGAGTCGTACTGAATTGTGAAGGGGAGAAAAATGTGGCAAATGTGATACAGGTGAGTTCAATATAGTCTAATTGGCCAGATTAGATTTCGACTGCAATTTATTTTTTATTCCGAGTTTAAGGTAGCACAGTGGATGGAGCTGAGTTATTTATCCACAGTGAAAGTGGGGGAAAGTAGTGGGAAAGTTGCCAGCAGATTTGTTTTGAGTACCACTTAAAAACACCTCTGACACTAGGTCATGAGTTCTTTCTTGACCTCAAGTTACTCTGCAACCTGGGGATATGGTGTTTGGGGGGAAAAAAAAGGAAAACCACCAATATTCTGAAGCCGAATTTATTGCATCAGAAGAGTGCACAAATGAAGAGCCTGTTACACAAAGCTTAACTTTTTAAAAATATTCTATTTATTCATTTAGGCTGCAGTGAGCCATAGCATCCTGTTGAAACCTTGCATACACATTAAAGTCCCCATTAGGCATCAAAACTTCACTTTCATTGAGTAATATTTGCACTGTAAAATTCAGCAAGTACCAAGAAAAATTCAGAGGATGTGATTTACAATAACAACTCATCTTCTCCGAAGTAAAGATGTCCCTGTAAATGAGCCGGTTTCATTCAGAGACCCAAGAGCAAATCCGGTAGATATATCAGCAAGTGAGAGTTAAATGATCCCACAACCAACAGGTTAAATCCAAGATCTGCTGTCCTGCCACATCCAGTCAAGAATGCTGGTGGACAGTTAAACAACTCAGTGGAGCAGGAGGCTCCACAAATATCCCCATCCTCAATGATGGAAGGATCAAACACATCAGTGCAAAAGATAAGGCAGAAGCATTCTTAACAATCTTCAACCAGAAATGCCAAGTAGATGATCCATCTCGGCCTCCTCCAGTGGTCCCCAGCAGTGCAGATGTCAGTCTTTAGCCATAGGTCCTGACAACATCTGGCAATAGTACTGAAGACATGTGCTCAGAACTTCCCGAACTCCTAGCAAAGCTGTTCCAGTACAGCTACTACACAATGTGTACATGCCCAGGTATGTCCTATACACAAAAAGCAGAACAAATTCAACCCGGCCAATTACTGTCCCATTGGTCTACTCTCGATCATCAGTAAAATGATGGAAGGTGTCTTCAACAGTGCTATCAAGCAACACCTGCTTAGGAGCAACCTGCTCACTGCTGCCCTCATTGAGTTTCACCAGGGCCACTCATCTGCTGACCTCATTACAGCATTGGTTCAAACATGGACAAAAGAACTGAATTCCAGAGGGGAAGTGAGAGTGACAGCCCTTGATATCAACGCCACATTTGACTAAGTGTGGAGTTAAGGAGTGCTAGCAAAACTGGAATTGATAGGAATCGGGGGCAAACACTCTGCCAATTGGAGTCATACCTGACGAATAGCAAGATGACTGTAGTTGTTGGAGGTCATTCACCTCTGCCCTTTGAAATCTCTGTAGGAGTTCCTCAGGGTTCTGACCTTAGCCCTGTCATCTTCAGCTGCTTCATCAATGACTTCCCTCAGAGGTGGGGATGTTCAACAATGTTTGCAAAATGTTCAGCACCATTTGCAACTCCTCCGATACTGAAGTAGTCCATGTTCAAATGCGAGTAATTCACCACCTGACTCCCCAAAGCCTATCCAGCATCTTTAAGGCACAAGTCAGGAGTGTGATGAAATACTCCCAACTTGTCTGGATGAGTGCAGCTCCAACAGTGCTCAAAAAGCCTGACACTATCCATGACAAGGCAGTTCACTTGATCGGCGCCACGTCCACAAGCATCCATTACTTCGACCACCAACGTTCAGTAGCAGCAGTGTGTACTATCTACAAGATGCACTGCAGAAATTTGCCAGAATTATTAGACAGCTCCTTCCAAGCCCATGACCACTTCCATCTAGAACACAAGCGTAGCACATGCATGGGAACACCACTACCTGCAAGTTCCCCTCCCAGTCACTCACCATCCTGAGTTGGAAATATATCACTGTTGCTGGGTCAAAATCCTGGAATTTCCTCCCAAATGGCATTATGGGTCTACCTACAACACGTGGACTGCAGCAGATCAGGAAGGCAGATCACTACTACCTTCTCAAGGGCAACTAGAGATAGGCAATAAATGTTGCCAGCCCGTGATGCCTGTGTATCATGAGAGAATTTTTTAAAAATGGCCTTTACCTCAATTTTCATTTTTAACGGTGAATATTTATTGCAGACCCCCTTTTAGGATTTTATTGGTATCGCAGTCACTGGCACAGAAACAATTTTATCAGTTCAGTTTCATGAAATTTCCATTTTTGATGTTGGCTGTACTGAATTGAAACATATCTTAGGATCTAATTATATGTGCAAGCACTCATTGATTTATATTTTTCGTAGAGCAGGGAACTTGTATTTGGAACGTAAGTGCTGTAGAGTATTTTTGTTACTGTATTAAAATTTAATTTTGAAAGAGTCCCTACAGTAGAAGAGGCCATTCAGCCCATCAAGTCTGCAGTGATCCTCCAAAGAGCATCCCACCCAGACCCCATCCCTGCACCCCAATATCCCTGTAACCCCACACTTACCCCATGGCTAATCCACCTGGGTTACAAATCCCTGGACACTAGTGGACAATTTAGCACGGCGAATCCAACTAACCTGCACATCTTTGGACCGTGGAAGGAAACCAGAACATCCAGAGTAAACCCACGCAGACTCAGAGAACGTGCAAACTCCACACAGACAATCGCCTAAGGCTGGAATTACAGCCGGGTCCCTGGCTCTGAGGCAGCAGCACTAACTACTGTGCCGCCAAATTTTCTCTCTTAAAGCGGGAGCTACATTCTGAGTATCCTCCCTTACTTATCCAAGTGATTTCATGTGTAAGCTAAGAAATAAGCATCAAGAAAACCTTATCTGCTCTTCCTGGGTGTTGATCAGGAAAACCAGCATTCTTGTTTTACTGAGACAACAAGGTGCAGGGCTGGATGAACACAGCAGGCCAAGCAGCATCATAGGAGCAGAGAGGTTGACGTTTCGGGCCTAGACCCTTGCATTGGTACAGATTCTGTGTTCTTCCCCTCCTTTCAACTAAGGTTAGTTAACAGCATATATCAAAGTATCACACAGGAGTTAATTGCCTTGATCAGGTAAGTCTCCAGGTATATTTTCAGTAGCTTGGTGAACCTATTGCTGTGGTGTAAATGATGTAGTTTAAGCAAAAAAAGGGCTTGTAACTTTTCTATCTTGCTCACAACTTTAAGAAGATATGAATAAGAATGAACTGATGGAACTTATTCTGTCACAAAGCCAAAATCTTTGGAATATCTAATTTTAGTAGCTAAATTTGTTTGCTTATACACTTAAAAATAATGACAAAGTAGAAATCCAGAATATTTCATTAGTTTAGAAAGAAATTACAATTATTGAAATACTTTATTGAACTATTTTCACTTGATGTTGATGGCACCTTAGCTTGCTCTTGCTTTATCAGCTGCCTCTATTCCAGCAGAGGGTGTCAGATTTACTGCAGTAAATAAGACACAAAAATTCCAGTCTAGAATTTCACAGCTTTCAATCTGTAGTTTGGTACAGGGACTTGACAGACAGGCAGATGTATCATAAAATCATGGCAGCCTCTTCTAAGGCATCTGCTTCATTGGCCAGCTGTTGGACTAGCCCTTGTCTGATTTCACTGTTGCTTAATTAGTTGTTATCAAAGCATCCCTTGTAATGACTTCTTATCTTTGTATCTTAAAAAGCTATACAAAATCCCAATTAGATCTGGTTTTCTCTAACTAATCGTCAGAAAAGGTCAGGCTTGATTCTCATTCCAGCATAGGTAGATGCAGAATCTATCTCTTCAGTCTACCCCTAATAGAGGAAAGGAGTGGCAAATGATCACTGACAAAAATGGCCAAGGAATCCGCTCATAATAAAGCATCAACAGAGAATGAGCCAATGACCTACCATTACGCAGAACAGATATGCCAATTGCCATCTTTATTGTCAAAGTTCAAAGCCATTGTCTCTGGTCTTAGCCACATTCTTCTTCACCTCACCGCTGACTCCATCCCTGCATTTGCACAGGGCTGTATCCGAGTGTTTGTAAGCATGGTGTCTCATTTGACCCTAAACCTCTCCTGAGATTAAAAGTGCTGTACAAAAGTAAATTGTAATCCAGTGTAATGCAGTGCGATTTTTCCCACAAATCACTTGTTACATTCCATTTCGTTGTTTAGCTCTCAATACCCTTTGACATTCTTCTTTTCCGAGTACAGTAACTAACAATGGAGTTTGCTGTGTGAACGATCTATTGCAGAGATTCTTGACTCTGACAATAATTTTTCTTCCTAGTCATTTTGTGTAATATTCAAACTTATTGCATGGAGATAATATCATTTTTGTTTAATCACATTTTAATGTTGGATAAAAATTTTGTAGGTATACTTTTTGACAATTTTTAAACTTTTCCCTCTTCTCACAAAGGCATTGAGTGTGTATAAGGCCATAAGACATAGGAACAGAAGTAGGCCATTCAGTCTGCTGCACCTTTCAATGAGAACATGACTGATTTGATAATCCTCAACTCCACTTTCCTGCCTTTTACCCATAGCTTTTGGTTCCATTACCAATTTAAAAATCTATCTCTCAGCGGCACAGTCTCTTCAACCGTACGCAGAGAAAGAATTCTGCAGATTCACTACTGTCTGAGAGAAGAAGTTCCTCCTCATCTCTGTCGTAAAAGTACAATACCTCGATATGAGATTATGCTTTCTGAATCTCTCACGAGGAAAGACAGCCTCTTCGCTGTTAAATCCCCGAACAATCTTATATTTTAATACGATCATGTCTCATGTTTCACACTTCAGTGAGTACAGGCCCAACTCAATGAACCTCTCATAAGACAGTCCCTCCATACACAGGATCCGCCAAGTGAACTTTCTCTGGATTGCCTCCAATGCCAGTGTATACTTTGATAAAGGGACCAAAACTGTTCACAGCATTTCAGCTATGGTCTGACTAGTTTTAGTAAGACTTTCATATTTTTATGCACCATTCCCTTT